TTTCCTCAGAAACTTCTCCTCGTCCGTCTCATCCTCCGGAGCGCTCGGCATCGGCGGCTGAACACAAACACAGACGAGAGTCGCAGGTCACCAAGGAGAAGAAGGAGGAGGAGGAAGAGGTGGAGGAGGAGGAGAAGAACAAGGATCAGGTGAAGAAGGAGGTGGAGAAGGAGGAGAAGGTAAAGAACAAGGAGAAGAAGGAGGAGGAGGTGGAGGTGAAGAAGGAGGAGAAGAAGGTGAAGATGGAGGAGAAGGTGGAGAAGGAGGTGAAGAAGGAGGAGGAGGTGAAGAAGGAGGAGGAGGTGAAGAAGGAGGAGGAGGAGAAGGTGAAGATGGAGGAGGAGGTGAAGAAGGAGGTGAAGAAGGAGGAGGAGGTGAAGAAGGAGGAGGTGGAGGTGAAGAAGGAGGAGGTGGAGGTGAAGAAGGAGGAGGAGGAGAAGGTGAAGATGGAGGAGGAGGTGAACAAGGAGAAGAAGGAGGAGGAGGAGGAGGTGAAGAAGGAGGAGAAGAAGGAGGTGGAGGTGAAGAAGGAGGAGGTAGAAAAGGAGAAGAAGGTGAAGGAGGAGAAGGAGGAGGGTGAGAAGGTGAAGAAGGAGAAAAAAGAGAAGGAGAAGAAGGTGAAGGAGGAGGTGGAGAAGGAAGAGATGAACGTGAAGAAGAAGGAGGTGGAAAAGTAGAAGAAGGAGAAGGAGGAGGAGGAGGAGGAGGTGGAGGTGAAGAAGGTGAAGAAGGAGGAGGTGAAGAAGGAGGAGAAGGTGAAGAAGGAGGAGTGGAGGAAGGTGAAGAAGGAGGAGGAGGTGGAGGTGAAGAAGGTGAAGAAGGTGAAGAAGGTGAAGAAGGTGAAGAAGGAGGAGGTAGAGAAGGAGGAGGAAGTGAAGGAGAAGGTGAAAAAGTAGAAGGAGAAAAGCTGCAGTGTGTAACTTTTCTGCTGGAGGATCCATCAAACACTTTTCTCCGTGGAGATGTTATTGCTTTGTCTGGAATGTTCCACAGTGAGGCTTTAAACCTTTCTGTCTTCATGGAGACCAAACCAGACCAAGTTACAGGTCAGATCTGCGGAGAGGCGACCCCGCTCACACTCACAGTGTTTTGGTTTTTTTGAGCCGTAAAACCACCTGTGATTGAATAAATGTAAAGTCGATGTGTTTAAAGTCACACTGTGGAACATTCCAGGCAGAGCAGTGACGTCTCCATAGAAACCGGCAGGTGATGGACCCTCCACCTCGCCGTTTCCATCAGGATTTCCATCTTCTTACCTCTGGCAGATCGGCGTCGATTACGGCCCCCATCTCTCTGCGGAAACAAGACATTTTAATTAAAGCTGCACTGAGTCACCTTTTCGTGTTTTTTTTTTTTTTATGTTTTTAAGAGTAAAAATCAGGCGCAGCGTCTTTAAACGTGTCTAAATGTTGTAGATGTTTGGTGTGGTCGCGTACACTGCGTCGGCCTTTTTCTCGGAGAAGATCCTGACGAGGAAGTCGGCCTCGTGGTGCGGCTGGAAGGTGGTGGGCACGAGGAGGTAGCGTCCGGGGGGCAGGGTGAAGCGCTCGGCCACCTCCCTCATGTTGATGTAGGTGCGGCTTCGAGCTTTGGACGCGTGGTACCGGAAAAAGTCCTTCCCCGCCTGGTCGGTGTCGTCTGGGGCCTGGACACCACAAATACAGAGATAAATACACAAACATGACCTCACGTCATCGCGAGAGGTGTACATTCGCGCTGAACCGTTTCGGCGTTGGGTTCGGGGTGAGTTCACGCAATACAGACATCCTGAATTTCGAACTTCCGGTCATCGAGCGATTCATACTGGGAAGGATCCTCCGAAAAAGTGAACATCAAACAGCCAAGGGACGTGTCTATTGTCAAAGTCGATCTTTTCAAGTCTTTTGAACCATTTCACTTTTGTTTCTGGTTCTGATATTGTCATGTTTTAGTTTTGGGATTCAGACATCGTTAATTGTTGTGGTTGTTGGATCCTAACAGCGGAAAACGGCTCGAGAAATTTGTTTGTGAACTTCATAAATGCAAAAGTGAATCAGATGTGTGTGACTCAAACCTCTGTTCAAACTGTTTCTCTTCCCAACGGAATTGAAAAATAGTGAAAGGTGAAGGTGATGGGCAGGATTGATCCACAGGAAGAACCAAAAAGGAAACATTTGAATCCCTCACTCAACCTACGAGTTACGAATTTAAAAAGTCAACGCCAAAGCGAAAGTCTCCAACTGTTCACCAAGAAACACCTTCCACTGCAAAGACCAAGACGTGATGTTTGTGTAAAACCACAAGAACAAGAAAGTGCAGCTCAGTCTGTTTGTCTTCTGCTCCTCTACATTAACAAACCGGATTTTGTTTTGTCGTGCTCCACATACAAAATGTTCTCTGTAAACTCAGGATGATTTCTTAGTCAGACAAATGTTTCCTTTTTGGTTCTTCCTGTGGATCAATCCTGCCCATCACCTTCACCTTTCACTATTTTTCAATTCCGTTGGGAAGAGAAACAGTTTGAACGGAGGTTTGAGTCACACACATCTGATTCACTTTTGCATTTATGAAGTTCACAAACACATTTCTCGAGTCGTTTTCCGCTGTTTGGATCCAACAACCACATGATTACGATGTCCCAATCCCAAAACTAAAATATGACAATATCAGAACCAGAAACAAAAGTGAAATGGTTCAAAAGACTTGAAAAGATCGACTTTGTCAACAGACACGTCCCACTGGGAAAACAAACATGGAGGTTTGATGCTCACTTTTTCAGAAAATCCTTCCCAGTGTGAATTGTGCGATGACCTGAAGTCCAAAATTCAGGATGCAGGTATTTGTGTGTGTTTACATTCGTCCTCTACATGTGCAGCCACACGGAGGCTCGGATCTTTAATATTTTTGAGGAACTCGTCCGTGATCGAGGCAGAGTTTCCCGCAGTGCTTTATAGTTAGAGCGGCCGCCTCTGAACCTCATGAATTTTCGCAAAACTACAGTCGTCGCGCTGTGGTTCTCATTTTTACCTTTCGCTCCGCAGAATCAAATGGTTTTGCATTTTATTGCTATTCTGTACCGAAAATGAACCGAACCGTGACCTCAAAAACCCGACGTACACAGTGAACCGTGATTTCTGTTACGCCACTAAACACTGCAGAATCCCTGTTGTCTTCAGTGATCCTGTTTTCAGATAAACTGCTGTGATCTTTCTTCTCCTGACAGTATTTTTAATGTAAAATCAAATCAAATCTCTCAGCGTCCCTCAGACGACCTGAAGGACCCGAACCGCACTGACACGACTAAACTCTAGCCCTTATTATTAAAGTTATTGGTGAAGGTGACGTTTTGAGACTTAAACTTGAGAGTCTAACATCGTAAACGGCGAAACCGATGGTCTCCAGGTCCAGTCCTTCTTTGCGGAGTTTCCTTCTGTTCTTCTGCATCTAGAGCTGATCCTTCTGACGTCTATCCTTCTACTGCTGTCTATCCTTCCTTCACTGTTCCTTCTGTCTATCCTTCCTTCTATCCTTCTGTCTATCCTTCTGTCTTCCTTCGTCTGTCCTATCTGTCTATTCTTCTGTCTATCTATCCTTCTCTTCTATCTTCTATCTCCTTCTATCCATCTGTTCTGTCTATCCTTCTTCTATCTGTCTATCTTCTATCCTTCTGTCTCTTCTATATCCTTCTATCCCTTCTATCCTTCTATCCTTCTGTCTATCCTTCTATCCTTCTGCTGTCTATCCTTCCTTCTATCTATCCTTCTATCTGCCTTCTGTTCTTCTACCTTCCTTCTATCCTTCTGTCTATCCTTCTTCTTCCTTCTATCCTTCTGTCTATCCTTCTGTTATCCTTCTATCCTTCCTTCTATCTTCTTCTGTCTATCTTCTGTCTATCCTTCCTTCTGTCTATCTTCTTCCTTCTATCCTTCTTCTATCCTTCTGCTCCTTCTATCCTTCTGTCTATCCTTCTATCCTTCTGTCTATCTTCTATCTTCTTCTATCCTTCTGTCTATCCTTCTGTCTATCCTTCCTTCCTTCTATCCTTCTGTCCTTCTATCCTTCTGTTCTTCTATCTTCTGTCTATCCTTCCTTCTATCCTTCTGTCCTTCTATCCTTCTGTCTATCCTTCCTTCTATCCTTCTGTCTATCCTTCCTTCTATCCTTCTGTCTATCCTTCCTTCTATCCTGTCTATCCTTCCTTCTATCCCTGTCTATCCTTCTGTCTATCCTTCCTTCTATCCTTCTGTCTATCCTTCCTTCTATCCTTCTGTCTATCCTTCCTTCTATCCTTCTGTCTATCCTTCTATCCTTCTGTCTATCCTTCCTTCTATCCTTCTGTCTATCCTTCTGTCTATCCTTCTGTCTATCCTTCCTTCTATCCTTCCTTCTATCCTTCTGTCTATCTCTTCTTTTTATCCTTCCGTCTTTGTACCGATGTAGTTCCTGCAGCCTCCAGCGGTGGCGCCCCTGATCCAGCTGCCCTCGAACAGGTTGACCTCCCAGTGTCGTTTGGTGTCGTCGCTCAGAGCGTCGGGCGTCATGTTACAAATCTCCACCGTGTCGTAGTTTCTCTTAAAGTCCTCGAACTCCATCCTGCGAACGCACAAACGCCGTCAGCAACACACAAACACACACACAACACAACACACAAAAACACACACAAAGACTGTCACAAACACACACACACACACACAAACACACAAAAACACACACAAACGCCATCAGCAACACACAAACACACACACAAACACACAAACACACAAACACTGTCACAAACACACAAACACACACACAAACACTGTCACAAACACACAAACACACACACAAACACACACAAACACACACACAAACACACACACACACACACACACACAAACACTGTCACAAACACACAAACACACACACAAACACACACAAACACACACAACACACACACAACACACACACACACAAACACACACACAAACACACAAACACACACACAAACACTGTCACAAACACACAAACACACACACAAAAACACACAAACACACACAAACACACACACAAACACTGTCACAAACACACAAAAACACACACAAACACTGTCACAAACACACAAAAACACACACAAACACTGTCACAAACACACAAAAACACACACAAACACTGTCACAAACACACAAAAACACACACAAACACTGTCACAAACACACAAAAACACACACAAACACTGTCACAAACACACACAAACACCGTCAGCAACACACAAACACACACACAAACACTGTCACAAATACACAAAAACACACAAAAACACACAAACACACACAAACACTGTCACAAACACACAAAAACACACACAAACACACAAAAACACACACAAACACTGTCACAAACACACAAACACACACACAAACACACACAAACACACAAAAACACACAAACACTGTCACAAACACACAAAAACGCACACAAACACACAAAAACACACACAAACACACAAACTCTGTCACAGACACACACCATGTTCCTTTTACTGTTTTGAAAACACAATAATATTTGTGGAAAACAAAGCATTAACATGTTTTATAAGTTTCATTTTCACTTTTGGCATCGTCTCCTCTAAGTCGCTCCCCCTTCAGAGCGCACACAACACACTCAGTGTGCGTGACACTAATGAAACTCCTGCACTGTGCTGTATCATGTTTTTGTATATTTATTGAGAGTTGTCGTGTGGGATCACGGGGGATGTGTGGGCGGAGCCTCGTACAGACTAATACTACTTGTTTAGTTTTGCACTTTACATCTTCACTTTACAGTGTTTGAGGCTCAAAACATAATTTTGTAGTTTTCCATATGACACTGATAATAAAATCCTGAATCCTGAGAGATCACTATATTACTCAGACACGCCTGGATGACTCTAAACTTCATAACATGAGAGAATAAAGAAATGATTTTGCATAATTGTGCGTCTTTAACAGTGATGTGGATTTACCTCGACGTTCGTCACATCTGCTGCTCGTGTAAAAAGAATAAAATTGTTTTTTAAAGTTTTCGTTTGTTTCGGTGTATCTCACCAGAATTCTCCGTCGTCGGTGGAGTTCTGGAGGATCCTGTTTTTCTCGGCTCGGTCCACGTAGTTCCACTCTCTGGAGCTGAAGGAAAAACAAACAACATTTTCCATTTTAAAAAGAAACAAAAGGTAAAATTATTGTCTCCAAATGATTATGACTTGAAAACTGATTATAAATCTGAAAGCGTCACGACAACGTGAATCTCACACATTTATTGTGTTTTAAATAAAAGTGTGTTGAGTGTCTCACTTGTCGCTCCAGGGTCCGTTCCACTCGACCTGACCCCAGGGGTTTCTGATCCGGATCAGACGAACTTTTCTACCCTGGTACTCGACCTGCACACGGACCACACAGGAACATTTATGTAACATGTAAATAACAAATTATTCTAAATCAAAAAGCAAATTAAACAATATTTTTACATAAATTAAAGTAAACTTGTGGAATATTAAAGTTGCTACAAGGTTCATAAAACCTGGAGTTTGTTTCGTTTCATTCAAGCACATTTAGGCTGAGTTCTTCTGTCTAACAGAAAACACTCTGTTCCACTTTGTGATGTCATCATGTGGTGATACAGGAAGTGCTCCACTGTGTTTTTAAACTCCACACACCTTCACTAGAATCATTTGGATCATTTCTGCCAATCTGGAATTTTCCATCTCTCCTGAACTAAAGGTGAAAGGAGCTGTTAACATGAAACTATCACAATCACGAGGTGGAGCAGAGGTGGAACAGAGGTGGAGCAGAGGTGGAACAGAGGTGAAGCAGAGGTGGAACAGAGGTGGAACAGAGGTGGAGCAGAGGTGAAGCAGAGGTGGAACAGAGGTGGAGCAGAGGTGGAGCAGAGGTGGAACAGAGGTGGACAGAGGTGGAACAGAGGGCAGAGGTCAGAGGTCAGAGGTGGACAGAGGTGCAGAGGAGAGGTGGACAGAGGTGGAGCAGAGGTGGAACAGAGGTGGAGCAGAGGTGGAACAGAGGTGGAGCAGAGGTGGAACAGAGGTGGAGCAGAGGTGGAGACAGAGGTGACAGAGCAGAGGTGGGACAGAGGTGGACAGAGGTGGAACAGAGGTGACAGAGGTGGACAGAGGTCAGAGGTCAGAGGTGGAGCAGAGGTGCAGAGGTGGAACAGAGGTGGAACAGAGGTGGACAGAGGTGGAGCAGAGGTGGAACAGAGGTGAACAGAGGTGGACAGAGGGAGAGGTGAGAGGTGGAACAGAGGTGGAGAGAGGTGGACAGAGGTGAGCAGAGGTGGAACAGAGGTGGAAGCAGAGGTGGAGCAGAGGTGGGCAGAGGTGGAGCAGAGGTGGAACAGAGGTGGAACAGAGGTGGAGCAGAGGTGGAACAGAGGTGGAGCAGAGGTGGAACAGAGGTGGAGCAGAGGTGGAGCAGAGGTGGCAGAGGTGGAGCAGAGGTGGAGCAGAGGTGGAGCAGAGGTGGCAGAGGTGGAGCAGAGGTGGACAGAGGTGGAACAGAGGTGGAACAGAGGTGGAGCAGAGGTGGAGCAGAGGTGGAACAGAGGTGGAGCAGAGGTGGAACAGAGGTGGAGCAGAGGTGGAGCAGAGGTGGAGCAGAGGTGGAACAGAGGGCAGAGGTGGACAGAAGCAGAGGTTGGAGCAGAGGTGGAAACAGAGGTGGAAGCAGAGGTGAAGCAGAGGTGGAGCAGAGGTGGAGCAGAGGTGGAACAGAGGTGAAGCAGAGGTGGAGCAGAGGTGGAGCAGAGGTGGAGCAGAGGTGGAGCAGAGGTGGAACAGAGGTGGACCAGAGGTGGAGCAGAGCATTCGGAGCTTTGGACAGATGAATAATAAAGAGTGACTCAAACATGTGAATGAAACAAACACAACTCCAGGTGTTTCTGAGGAGGAAACAACATTAGAACATAACTTAAAGCTTCACAGGAGTCAGTTTAGCAGAATATGGGACCTTCAAGCCTAAACTAGATCACAAATATAAATATAATATATAAATCTTCTTAAAAAGGCCTGGTGTGTGTAAACAAAGAGAATAAAAAAGAATGAAGTGTAAAACGTGTAAAAAGTGTAAAATGTGTAAAAGTGTTAAAACGTGTAAAAAGTGTAACATGTGTGAAACGTGTAAAATGTGTAAAATGTGTGAAACATGTAAAAAGTGTAAAATGTGTAAAAAAGTGTAAAATGTGTAAAAAGTGTAAAGCGTGTAAAAAGTGTAAAACGTGTAAAATGTGTAAAAAGTGTAAAAAGTGTAAAAAGTGTAAAAGCGTGTAAAAGTGTAAAACGTGTAAAAAGGTAAAACGTGTAAAAAGTATAAAGCGTGTAAAAAGTGTGGTAAAACGTGTAAAAAGTGTAAAAAATAAAAATGTAAAAAAGTGTAAAACGTGTTAAAAATGTGTAAAAAGTGTAAGAATGTGTAAAAAGTGTAAAAAGTGTACGTGTAAAATGTGTAAAAAGTGTAAAAAGTATAAAGCGAGTGTAAAAAAGTAAAAAGTGTAAAATGTGTGAAATGTGTAAAAAGTGTAAAATGTGTAAAATGTCTAAATGTGTAAAACGTGAAAAAGTGTAAAGTGTGTGAAACGTGTAAGATGTGTAAAATGTGTAAAAAGTGTAAAATGTGGATAAGTTATACGTGTAAAAACATGTAAAATGTGTAAAACGTGTAAAGCGTGTGAAATGTGTAAAAAGAGTAAAACGTGTAAAATGTGTAAAAAGTGTAAAAAGTATAAAGCGTGTAAAAAGTGTAAAACGTGTAAAAAGTGTAAAAGCGTGTCTAAAAAGGTAAAAAGTGTAAAACGTTTAAAATGTGTAAAAAGTGTAAAAATGTGGATAAGTTAATACGTGTAAAAAAGTGTAAAACATGTAAAAGTGTAAAACGTGTAAAAATGTAAAATGTGTAAAAATGTGTGTAAAAAGTGTAAAATGTGTAAAATGTGTAAAATGTGTAAAATGTGTAAAAAGTGTAAAACGTGTAAAATGTGTACAAAGTGTAAAATGTGTAAAAAGTGTACGTGTAAAAAGTGTAAAACGTGTAAAAAGTGTAAAATGTGTAAAAAGTGTAAAAAATGTAAAAAGTATAAAGCGTGTAAAAGGGTAAAACGTGTAAAAAGGGTAAAACGTGTAAAAAGTGTAAAAAGTATAAAGCGTGTAAAAAGTGTAAAACGTGTAAAAAGTGTAAAACATATAAAAAGTGTACATGTAAAAAGTGTAAAACGTGTAAAATGTGTAAAAAGTGTAGAATGTGTAAAAAGTGTACGTGTAAAATGTGTAAAAAGTGTAAAAAGTATAAAGCGAGTAAAAAGTGTGAAACGTGTAAGATGTGTAAAATGTGTAAAAAGTGTAAAACGTGTAAAATGTGTAAAAAGTGTAAAATGTGGATAAGTTATACGTGTAAAAACATGTAAAATGTGTAAAACGTGTAAAGCGTGTGAAATGTGTAAAAAGAGTAAAACGTGTAAAATGTGTAAAAAGTGTAAAAAGTATAAAGCGTGTAAAAAGTGTAAAACGTGTAAAAAGTGTAAAATGTATAAAAAGTGTAAAGCGTCTAAAAAGTGTAAAACGTTTAAAATGTGTAAAAAGTGTAAAATGTGGATAAGTTATACGTGTAAAAAGTGTAAAACATGTAAAACGTGTAAAAAGTGTAAAACGTGTAAAAAGTATAAAACGTGTAAAAAGTGTAAAACATATAAAAAGTGTACATGTAAAAAGTGTAAAACGTGTAAAATGTGTAAAAAGTGTAAAACGTTTAAAATGTGTAAAAAGTGTAAAACGTGTAAAAAGTGTAAAAGTGTAAATGTGTGAAACGTGTAAAATGTGTAAAAATGTGTAAAATGTGTAAAATGTGTAAAAAGTGTAAAATGTGTAAAAAGTATAAAACGTGTAAAATGTGTACAAAGTGTAAAATGTGTAAAAAGTGTACGTGTAAAAAGTGTAAAACGTGTAAAAAATGTAAAATGTGTAAAATGTGTAAAACGTGCAAAACGTGTAAAAAAGTGTAAAACGTGTAAAGTGTGTAAAAAGTGTAGAAAGTGTAAAACGTGTCAAAAGTGTAAAGCGTGTAAAACATGTAAAGCGTGTAAAACATGTAAAGCGTGTCAAAAAGTGTAAAAAGTGTAAAAAGTGTAGAAAGTGTAGAAAGTGTGGTACCTCCTCCATTCCGGTGATGGAGTAGGCGTGTCCCTTCACCAGACCGGTGGAGGTTCGCGCCTCAGACTCGGCCGAACTTGTGATCTGAAGGAACAAATATACAAATATATGATCAAATATCTAAGCACAGTCACAATGTTTACTCAGAGAAACAGTAACAGTAACAGTAATAGTATTAGTAGTAGTAATAGTATTAGTAGTAGTATTAGAAGTATTTCTCACGTTGATGGAGCAGCCCATCATGGAGCCTCGGTCCAGGGCTTTCTTCATGATGGAGAACAGTTCGTTTGGAGCAGACTTCAGGTCGTAGTTTTCTCCCACTCCTCCGGTGAAATCCTCCATGGCCTCCATCGTACTGCCGCCCTTCAGCGCCTCGTAACTCCCGTGTAACCTGCACCGAGACACAGGCTAACCACTCTGCCACAATAGCAGTAGTAGTTGTTGTTGTAGTAGCAGCAATAAAAGTAGTAGTAGTAGTAGCAGTAGTAGTGGTAATAGCAGTAGTAGTAGTGGTATAGTAGTAGTTGTTGTAGTAGTAGTAGTAGTAGCAGTAGTAGTAGTAGTAGCAATAATAGTAGTAGCAGTGGCAGTAGAAGTACTTGTAGTAGTAGTAGTAGTTGTAGTAGTAGTAGTTGTTGTAGTAGTAGTACTTGTAGTAGTAGTAGTTGTAGTATTAGTACTTGTAGTAGTAGTACTTGTAGTAGTAGTAGCAGCAGTAGCAAAAGTAGTAGTAGTAGCAGTAGTAGTAGTTGTAGTAGTAGTAGTAGCAGTAGTAGTAGTAGCAGTAGAAGTACTTGTAGTAGTAGTAATTGTAGCAAACACAGGTTAACCACTCTGCCGCTCACAGCAGGAGTTTAACCCACAACCTCCAACTGTCACTGTGACCAGAGGGGGCAGTAGTGAGGTACATTTACTACAGTCACTTTTCAGAAACTCGACTTTTCACAGTACTTTTCCAGTCGCGTACTTTGACTTGAGTAATATTTGTACCGGTTTGACCGTTCAGGACTCAAACCCAGAACAAACAGCGAGGAGGCAGCGAGGAGGCGGAGGTGGCGTCACTCACTTGGCGTAGGCCTTCTCCAGCAGCGCGCTCCAGAACTCGTTGTTGGAGGCCGAGTGGAGCATGACCAGCTGGTTCCGGACGGTCGGGAGTCTGTCGTCCACCACGATGTCCAGCCATTTGTTGTGCTGCCAGAACTGAAAGTGTGTACGAAAGGTCAGCGGCCTACAGGGGTTAGGGTTTCATTGTTGACAAAAGCGTGCGTTGCATGCTGGGAATTATTTTGGTCGGCAGCGAGAAACACTAATTGAACATGACGGACGGAGCGAGAAAGCACGTAAAGGGTATTGATCCCGGTTATTTATCCACTGTAACGGCAGAGGACCCAAGACCATTTGACCAGAAATTGGTCATAAACATCGACGGACGACAAATCACCCTTTTCAACCCCGACAGAGTCTGGACCAAACCAAATTTCTGGTCTGAATCTCCAACTCCCTGGACAAATATTCACTTGTGCGACATCCACAATGACTTGGTGAAACTCCTGGGCCATTCACAGCAGAAAAGATGAAAACCTCCAAGAGTCTGGATGTGTTGTTGAACTTGTTGAGTCCACGGTTTGTTAGGATCTTCTACGTTTGCTCTGCGGATGTTTGAAAGTCGTTTAATTCACCGTTAGTGGTTCTTTTCACTCAGAATATGAAAAAGACATTTTTCTTCTTCCGTGTTTCTATTTGTGCGTCCGATAATGCAGCAGGAATTTAACATTATCAGGGAGAAATACTCGAGGTTACGCACTGTGTTTGACGCTACCGTGTTTCTGCCTCCGACCAAAATATTTCCCAGCAGCAACGCAGACTTTTAATAACAATGACGTCAGCTGAAACTCGCCTATTCACGGCTTATTCACGTCACCAAAACACCCCTAAGATCTCACACGTCCGAGCGGTCGGGCTGTCGCTGTCTGTCCATTTGTACCAGTCGCTCTTTTGAATTTCAAATAAGAACGAAAAACAACAAAATGGGCAAACGGTTTGTTATTTCGTTTTTCCGTTTTAGTGTCAAACAAAAAAAAAGCAAAAACAGATTTTGACCTCTATTACACCAATTTTCAAATTACACCAATCAAAGCAGAAGAACTTCCAGTGCAAATAAACCAGAGAGAATAAAATATCAAAAACGAAACAGGCACAGAGACTGTTTTTTTGTTTTTTGGTTGGTTTTATTTGAATTAAACTTTAAATTAAATATTGGAAATAGAGGTCGAAATCTGTTTTAAACTAGGGCTAAATCAGGATTTAACTGGGACGGAACCAGAACTAATCCAGGACCAAATCAGAACTAATCCAGGACTAAACCAGAAGAAGAAATGACTAGAACACGGAGAAAAGACGTGAAAAGTCCAGGTCTGATTTAAAGGAAGGAGACGACACAGCTGAGTTTAGTCGTGCGCGAAATCCATAAAAATTCACGATTTCGTCTTCATCACAGTTTGTGTTGGGTTCAGTCTTATCATCAGAAGAGCCTCTAGTCAGAAAATCCATGTTCAGGTCGTGTTACAAATTGTTACAAATGAAATTGTATTTCAAGTTTTAAATATTTTAAAAAGTAAATATTAAAAGTAATAAATATATTAAACCCTTAAAATACAGTAAAAATGTTTGAGGAAATAATGATTTGGGTGGAAATGTCGTCTTAAGTGGAACAGGGTTAATAATTGTCTGATTTTCAGGCAACAACTTGCAAAATGTTCAGTAATTCGAGCTCTACAACCTTCATTTCAATTTTATTTTAAATCTTTTTCTTTTAATAAAGCATTGGTGGGTTTGTAAACCAACAAATGAAGTCATGCTGGCCTTAGCTAATGCTGTTATACATGATTATGTGTTTTCCTGTCAATATCTCAAAAAATGTTGATGTTGCAGCCATTTTTCATTGGTAAACATCCAAAAGTTTACTCATTCTTCCCTGATATCCAGGGATTATTCCCTGTTGTTTTCATCAAATATACATTCAATTGTTCAAGAGAAATGTTGCTGACAAACCAATAGAAGAGGGAATGATTTTCTGACTAGTGGGTTTTCTGACTAGTGGGCTTTCTGACTAGTGGGTTTTCTGACTAGTGGGCTTTCTGACTAGTGGGCTTTCTGACTAGGGGGCCTTCTGATGATAAGGGTGTAACCGTTTGCGTTTCGTTCATTTTTTCTACAGTTTTTAAAAAGAGCTCGTGTTGCACAGTTTTCTGATGTTCTGATGTAGTTGTGTTTTGTTTTTCGTACACAGCTCCAGGTCTGTTTTTGATTTTTGGTTTTGTGTGGTGTAATAATCTAAAATTAAAAAAAAAATAAAAAACAGTTTGTGAGTTTCACCTGGAAGTGGAAGATTCCGGCGTATCTGCGTCCGAAGTCCTGGTCGTGAGGAACCACCCGAGCCAGAGCGTCTTTCTTTAAAGTCAGAGACGCAATCGCCGCCAGGAGCCAACAGTCCCCTACAAGAGACCAGACTCAGACCAGGACTAAACCAGGACTAAACCAGCATTAAACCAGGACTAAACCAGGACTAAACCAGGACCTAAACCAGCCAACAGTCCCCTACAAGAGACCAGACTCAGACCAGGACTAAACCAGACTACAACAGCATTAAACCAGGACTAAACCAGGACTAAACCAGGACCAATCCAGCCAACAGTCCCCTACAAGAGACCAGACTCAGACCAGGACTAAACCAGGAAACCAGGACTAAACCAGGACTAAACCAGGACTAAACCAGCCAACAGTCCCCTACAAGAGACCAGACTCAGACCAGGACTAAACCAGGACTAAACCAGGACCAATCCAGCCAACAGTCCCCAACAAGAGACCAGACTCAGACCAGGACTAAACCAGGACTAAACCAGGACTAAACCAGGACTAAACCAGCACTAAACCAGAACTAAACCAGGACTAAACCAGGACTAAACAAGGACTAAACCAGCCAACAGTCCCCTACAAGAGACCAGAGTCAGACCAGGACTAAACCAGGACCGAACCAGGACTAAACCAGGACCAATCCAGGACCGAACCAGAACTAAACCAGGACTAAACCAGGACCAAACCAGCCAACAGTCCCCAACAAGAGACCAGAGTCAGACCAGGACCAAACCAGGACTAAACCAGGACTAAACCAGGTCTAAACAAGGATTAAACCAGCAGGAGTCTCGTCACTGAATTTAATCAGAGACAGTTTTAGGACTAGACCTGGACTGGACTACAGACAGGACTCATGGACCTGACCCTGGACCTGACCCTGGACCTGACCCTGGACCTGACCCTGGACTTGACCTTGGCCTGACCCTGAGTTAAACCCGGGTTGTTTGAGCCGGTTCAGTGTGTCAGTGTGTCAGGTGAAAGGGCCGAGTCCGAGTTTGGGATTAAAAGATCCGGAAACGCCTTCGTCTAAAAACAACAACAGACTGAAAAAGTAAATCCTCCTCTGTCAGCTCCAGCTCAACGCATCACCCCGGACTAAAGCAGGACTAAAGCAGGACTAAAGCAGGACTAAACCAGGGCTTAACAGGACTAGGCAGGGCTAAACCAGGACTAAACCAGGACTCAAGTAGTAGGACAGCGCCAGCACCTGGAAAAGTACGGCTTTAAAAGTGTGAATCTCCGAGGCGCCGTTTGTCCAGGCGACTCTCAAAGAAAAAAAAAAACAAAAAACTGTAAATTAATTAATGTAACACAGATTAAGTCTAATGCCACACTGCGGGACCTAACCAGGACCTAACCAGGACCTAACCAGGACTTAACCAGGACTAAACCAGGACTAACCCAGGAATAAATTCGGACTAAACCAGAACTAAACCAAGAGTAAACCGGGACTGAAGCAGCCAACAGTCAACTACAAAGAGACCAGAGTCAGACCAGGACTAAACCAGGACCGAACCAGGACTAAACCAGGACTAAACCACGACTGAACCAGGACTGAACAAGGGTAAATTAGGCCTAAACTAGGACTAAAGCAGGACTCAAGTAGTACGGCAACACCAGGACCTGGAATTTTACAGAGTATTAAAAGCATTAATCTCCATGGAGACAAACCGGATACGGCACAATATAAGAAAACACGAGTGTCCAGGCAACTCTAAAAGCCATAAAAACACAATAAAAACTATAAAAACATAATAAAAACCTTAAAAACCCAATAAAAAAAATAAAAACAAAATAAAAACCCAATAAAAACAATATAAAAACAAAGAAAACAATAAAAACCCAATAAAAAACAATAAAAAAAACAATAAAAACAAAATGAAAACTATAAAAACCCCAATAAAAACAAAAACTATAAAAACTAAATAAAAACAAAGTAAAAACACAATAAGAACAAAATAAAAACTATAAAAATATAAAAACAATAAAAACACACTAAACCAAAATAAAAACACAATAAAAACAATAAAAACATAATAAAAACAAAGTAAAAACACAATAAAAAGAATAAAAAAAACAATAAAATCACAATAAAAACCTGCAAATGAATAAATGCACCACAGTTAAGTCTAAAGCCACACTGCGGGACATTCCACAGAAAGCATCGTGTCTCCGTGGAGACGAGCGGTGACGTACCCAGCTGTCCTTGGCAGATGTCCGTGCGGTTTGCATCTCCCACGATGAACTCGGGGTCAGAACACAACTCCTGCAAAACACCCAGAGTCAGAAGTGTGTCCTGTCCCCCCTGTGTGTGTCAGGTGCCCTCCCGTCCCCCTGTGTGTGTGTGTCAGGTGCCCTCCCGTCCCCCTGTGTGTGTCAGGTGCCCTCCCGTCCCCCTGTGTGTGTCAGGTGCCCTCCCGTCCCCCTGTGTGTGTCAGGTGCCCTCCCGTCCCCCCTCCCGTCCCCCTGTGTGTGTCAGGTGCCCTCCCGTCCCCCCAGGTGCCCTGTCCCCTGTGTGTGTCAGGTGCCCTCCCCCGTCCCCGTCCCCTGTGTGTGTCAGGTGCCCTCCCGTCCCCCCTGTGTGTGTGTGTCAGGTGCCCTCCCGTCCCCTGTGTGTGTCAGGTGCCCTCCCCTGTCACCCCCTGTGTGTGTCAGGTGCCCTCCCAGTGTCCCTCCCCCCTGTGTGTGTCAGGTGCCCTGTGTGTGTCCCGTCCTCCTGTGTGTGTCAGGTGCCCTCCCGTCCTGTGTGTGTCAGGTGCCCTCCCGTCCTCCTGTGTGTGTCAGGTGCCCTCCCGTCCTCCTGTGTGTGTCAGGTGCCCTCCCGTCCTCCTGTGTGTGTCAGGTGCCCTCCCGTCCTCCTGTGTGTGTCAGGTGCCCTCCCAAACACTATGTGCATAAGTTAAAATGACTTAAATTAAAAACATTTGACTTTATTTGAGTCGATTCAACTTGACGAGTAAAATGATCGACCAGTGGAATAAGTCTGTTTTTCTTAATTTAAGCAACATTTGATTTTGTTTCTTATAAAAGCATCAAGAATCTCAGACTTCAGGTCATCGCACAATTCACACTGGGAAGGATTTTCTGAAAAAGTGATGATCAAACCTCCATGTTTGTTTTCCCAGTGGGACGTGTCTATTGTCAAAGTCGATCTTTTCAAGTCTTTTGAACCATTTCACTTTTGTTTCTGGTTCTGATATTGTCATATTTTAGTTTTGGGATTCGGACGTCGTAATTGTGTGATTGTTGGATCCTAACAGCGGAAAACGGCTCGAGAAATGGGCTTCGGAAGTTTGTGAAGTCCGTAAATGCAAAAGTGAATCAGATGTGTGTGACTCAAACCTCCGTTCAAACTGTTTCTCTTCCCAACGGAATTGAAAAATAGTGAAAGGTGAAGGTGATGGGCAGGATTGATCCACAGGAAGAACCAAAAAGGAAACATTTGTCTGACTAAATCATCCCGAGTTTACAGAGAACATTTTGTATGTGGAGCCACGACAAAACAAAATCCTGATCCTTCGTTCAACCTCGGTTACGAATTTAAAAAGTCAACGCCAAAGTGAAAGTCTCCAACTGTTCACCAAGAAACACCTTCCACTGCAAAGACCAAGACGTGATGTTTCTGTAAAACCACAAGAACAAGAAAGTGCAGCTCAGTCTGTTTGTCTTCTGCTCCTCTACATTAACAAACCGGATTTTGTTTTGTCGTTGCTCCACATACAAAATGTTCTCTGCAAACTCAGGATGATTTCTTAGTCAGACAAATGTTTCCTTTTTGGTTCTTCCTGTGGATCAATCCTGCCCATCACCTTCACCTTTCACTATTTTTCAATTCCGTTGGGAAGAGAAACAGTTTGAACGGAGGTTTGAGTCACACACATCTGATTCACTTTTGCATTTATGAAGTTCACAAAAACACATTTCTCAAGTCGTTTT